GTGTGAAGAGAGCTCTGTGTGTTACACAAAATTTTTAGTTTAAAATTTCACAAATTTACTTTACTTCTTCCAAAACTGCTGTTCCTCTTGTTTCCTCTATTTTTGACTCTCACTCATTTATTTTTATTTATTTATTTAAAAAAATATTTTTATTGATTTCAGAGAGGAAGGGAAAGGGAGAGAGAAATGGAAACATCAATGATGAGAATCATTGATCCGCTGCCTCCTGAAAGTCCCCCACTGGGGATTGAGCCCGAAACCTGGGCCTGTGCCCTGACCAGGAATTGAATCATGACCTGGTCAACGCTCAACCACTGAGCCACACCAGCTGGGTCTTACTCATTTATTCACTCAAGTCAGGAATTGAGTCATTTTTTAATATTTGCTTCATTTTTTATATCTATTTGGCTATACTCTTTCTATCCTGTCTCTTAAATATCTTGCAGATCTCTTACTGTTTCTCCATTCCTTCTGCCACTGTTTGAATTCAAGTTCCTATTATTCTTTCTTGGGTTACTGTAAATAGTTTCTTATCCTTCGAATCTATTCTATGTATTTCTAAATCTGATCATATTACCTTCCAGCTAAAAATTGTTCAATGACACTTTTTTGCTTGCAGGATAAAACGCACACTCCTCAGCATAGACTTAGAAAGCCCTTTATGATTTGGCTTGTCGTCTTCTCCAACCTTATTTCCTTTCCTTTATAGGCATCTTTTCCTCTAGCCCAGGGATGGGGAACCTTTTTTTTTTTGCCAAGGGTTTGTATAAATGATACTATAAATGATATTATAAATAACATTTGTAACATAATTCACAGGCCATACAAATTTATCAACTTAAAAATTAGCCTGCAATATTTGGTCAAACATTTAATTAACTCACCCCTAATGCTTTGGCAGGGCCAGACAAAATGATTTTGGCCTGCGGGCCAGACATTCCCCATCCCTGCTAGTCCATGAAGAACTATTTGCAATTCCTCATGTGGACTTTTTTCCTGCTTATATCCATTGTAAATGCTATTTTCTCTACCTAAAGTGCTCTCCCGAGCACTTTGCCTAGCGTTCTTCTCATTTTTCACATAGCATAACTTTAGTGCTTTTCAAAGTAACCAGTCCACAAAATATTACAATCCATGACTGAGAGGAAGTTACTCTGGAATGTAAATCAACTGTGGCTGTAAGCTATTATTTTGTTTAGCTGACATTTTTTCTTAGCAAGGGAAATACTTTTGATTTAGCAGTTCACAGACTGGCACCATACACTAAGTAGTACTGGCTTAAATGGAGTTGTTGTTTTTTGGCAAAGCCAATAAGTTAATCACTCTTTCCTGTGTTTTGACAACACACCTTCTGTTTCTCAGTCTCTTGTAGAATTTATCACATTGTAGTTTTGGTATTTACTTGTGGCTCTTTTGTTAAACGAAATTTTTTGAGTCCAAAAATTTTGTCTTCTCTTTGTACTTTAGTAGACAGTTGTTTTGGGGATCATAATAGGTTCTGAAGCAGTATTTGTTGAATAAATGAGTGGAAACTTAATAAATAAATAAGGCTTCTAACAAAAAGCCTATAATTACTTGCCCATGTTTAATCAAGGTTGCTGTAAACTCTTTAAACTATTCTAAAGATTTGCCTTTATTTTTATTTATTTATTTTAATTTTTATTGGTTTTAGAGAGAGAAAAAGGGAGAGGGAGAGAGAGAAACATGGATTGTTTACCTCCCATATGTACCCTGATCAGGATTGAACCCACTACCTGGGTATGTGCCCTGACCTGGAATCAAACCCAAAACTCTTCAGTGCATGAGATGACAATCCAACTAACTGAATCACACTGGCCAGAGCCTATTTTTACTTATTGTTATTACTAGAGGCCTGATGCACGAAATTTGTGCAAGAGTAGGCCTTCCTTCCCCCGGCTGCCGGCACCAGCTTCCCTTTGGCACCCAGGACCCAGGCTTCCCTCACATCTCTGGCTTCTTCCAGAAGGTCATCTGGAATGAGGTCTGGTCTAATTAGCATATTATGCTTTTATTATTGTAGATTTTTAAAAAATATTTTTTTATTGATTTCAGAAAGGAAGGGAGAGGAAGAGAGAGATAGAAACATCAATGATGAGAATTGATTGGCTGCCTCCTACATTCCCCCTACTAGGGATTGAGCCTGCAACCTGGGCATGTGCCCTTGACTGGAATCGAACCCAGGACCTTTCAGTCCACAGGCCAATGCTCTATTCAAACCAGCTAGGGCTATTATAGATTTTTTAATCCTCACCTGAGGACATGTTCATTGAGTTTTAGAGGGGAAGAGAGACAGAGAGAGAGAGAGAGAGAGAGAGAGAGAGAAACATAAATCAGTCGCCTCTTATATGCAGGTGTACAGGATGATGCTCCAACCAACTGAACCACACCAGCCAGGGCTAAAGATTTACTTTTGAACTTAAGTATTTAAAAAATATTTCCTTTTTTATTATAGCATCTTCAATCCCATATTTCTAATGTCCAGTTTGTTACCTAAACCTTTATATTTTAACTAGAGGCCCGATGCACGAAATTCGTGCAAGAGTAGGCCTTCCTTCCCCCAGCTGCAGGCACCGGCTTCCCTCTGGCACCTGGGACCCGGGCTTCCCTCGCAGCCCCAGCTTCGTCTGGTAGGTTGTCTGGAAGGACGTCCAGTCTAATTAGCATATTACGCTTTTATTATTATAGGTTCTAAAATGTCTTGACTCTAGTTCCTTATTTCCATTCTCATTGTATCTTGCTCTAACATAAAATCTCATCAAGTTGTGTCTGAACTATTACAGTAGTTTTCTTTCTTTTTTTTTTTTAAAATATATTTTATTGATTTTTTACAGAGAGGAAGGGAGAGGGATAGAGAGTTAGAAACATCCATTAGAGAGAAACATCCATTAGCTGCCTCCTGCACACCCCCTACTGGGGATGTGCCCACAACCAAGGTACATGCCCTTGACCGGAATCGAACCTGGGACTCTTCAGTCCACAGGCTGGTGCTCTAGCCACTGAACCAAACTGGTCAGGGCTACAGTAGTTTTCTTATTGGTTCTTCTTTTTCTTGAATCTATTTCATTCTCCTTCTCTAGTATCCTATATAATAATACTATATAATAAAGAGGTAATATGCAAATTGACCCTCACTCTGTCACGCCATCACAAGATGGCTGCACCCACAGCGGAGACGGAGTTCCTGTAACGAGCAGTAACGAGCAGGAACCTGAGGCTGCATGGCGCCAGGCCGGGGCAGGTGACCTGAGGCTGCACCCCACACCCGACGGGGCTTGACGGGGGACCTAAGGCCACACCCCCCGCCTCAGGCTGGGGGACCTGAGCCTGCACCCCCCAACCCGGCAGGGCTTGACAGGGGTGGGGCTGGCCAGGTCTGGATCTTGCCCAGTGGGGGTAGGGCCGGCCGGGTCCGGGTCTCGCGCGATTTCGAGGTGCACGCAGCTGGGCGGGGACTTGACTCTGGGTCCCGCGGCATGCCCCATACTCTGACAGGAGGAAGATTTTCTTAATACATTTTACTAATTTTTTTTCATCTCTGACACTTCTATTATAGAGAAAAGGCAAATAGCAATATTAAAATATTTCCTCTAATTAATTTCCTTTTAATGTGCACGAATTTCGTTCACCGGGCCACTAGTTATTTTTATAAAATGCACATTTCATCATGGGAATGTCTAGAGCAGGGGTGAGCAAACTTTTTGACTCGAGGGCCACAATGGGTTCTTAAACTGGACCAGAGGGCCGGAACAAAAGCATGGATGGAGTGTTTGTGTGAGCTAATATAAATTCAAAATAAACATCATTACATAAAAGGGTACGGTCTTTTTTTTTTTTTTAGTTTTATTCATTTCAAACGGGCCGGATCCGGCCCGCGGGCCATAGTTTGCCCACGGCTGATCTAGAGTCCTTAACATAGAATAAAAGGTGATTCAAATCTTATCATGTAACCTCTACTATCCAGGAAATAAAAATGGAGAAGTAAAGGGGGGGAAAAGTGGTCCAAACTTTCCATGTTTAAAATTTGCGCCATATTCTAAAAACATTTTAGTCACACAGAGAATACAATAACTGTTTCTGTCTAACATGGGACAATTAAAAAGTCAATGAAATTTAATACCTAAGTCCTTATAAAAGGCTTAGTAACTAGTAAAACTTTAGTAAATATAGTAGCCCCCCTTATCAATAGGGAATATGTTCCATGAATTTTCCACTTAATATTTTTAGATCATGGTTGACCACGAATAAATGAGACTGAAAAAAGCAAAGCCGCTGATAAGGTACTACTGTACTTGTAACCAATGAAGAATCTAACAAAAGGAAAATCAGGCTCTTGGTGATATATATTTTTGTCATTGACTATTTTTTTTTTTCTTAATAGGAATGAACACGTTGCTTTGTGCTCCCATTCAGACCCAGATGCAACAGAGAGAGGTATGAGTTCATGCAAGTGCCTTCATATTTAATTTCCCTTGACAGTTGAAACTTTTTAAAAACTCAAAATTTAATGGTAATGGCATGACTTAGGGGTTATCTACCAAAATGGACCTATAGACTGGGAAAACTTCCTACCCTTTGAGTTAACTGAGGAAAGTTAAATCACTGCCAGTTTAAATAATAGGGAAATATATTAGTTATATCAGGACTTCTTACACTTAATGGGCATATGAATCATCACAGGATTTTGTTTAAAAATATAGATTTTTTATCCAGTAGATCTAGCGTGGGCCCTGAGATTCTATACTATCAATCTCCTGGGTCTTACTAGTGCACTGGTCTATAGACCATACTTTGAGTAGCAAGGAGTTTGACCATATCCTTACAAATAAAATCACTGCATTAAGATTCAAAGAGAATCCAACTTCCAAGGGTCCAGAAGTGTTCTATAAATTAGTCAGCTATGCACTTATCCCTTTCTGAGTCTTTTATTTAAAAAGAGAATGACCTATCAGTAATTATAATTTTCATTATATTTGCATTTGGAATTGTCAGTCCTTTTTATGTTTAGTCATTCTAATGGGTGTAGAATTAACCTTGAACTTTTAATTTGTCCAAAAATACTAAAAGTATTTCTGGGAGAGAAAGATAGAAACATCAATGATGAGAGAGAATCATTGATTGGCTGCTTCTTACATGCCCCCTACTGGGGATCGAGCCTGCAACCCAGGCATGTGCCCTGACTGGGAATCCAACCATTACCTCCTGGTTCATAGGTCAACGCTCAACCACTGAGCTACACCTGCCAGGCTAGAAAAAAATTTAATAACAAATTATGTATTACACAGCACACCATTGATTCAAACAAACCAATCATTGACAATTATTTTTACAGTACATGTTGTAAAATACGTTTTTAAAGTTTTTATTGTATTTGATTTTTTTAAATATTTTGCTTTCATTATAGATTTCAGTTACAGAATACAACCATGAAGAGACACATTCAAATGACCAGACAGTCATCTTTTCAGATGAAAACCAGATGGACCTGACAGCAAGTCACACCGTGATGATTACGAAAGGCCTTTTAGATTGTACAAAAAGTGAAAAGTCCACCAAGACAGATACCACATCGTTTGTGGCTAACTTAAAACTTCACACTGAGGATTCAAGAATGAAAAAAGAATTGAATTTTTCCATGGATCAAAACACTAATTCAGAAAAGAAAATAAATTTCAATGACTTCATAAAAAGATTGAAAACAGGGAAATCTAATACTTCTTCTACAGGACCCGATAAAGAAAATTCTGAGATACCTATTCATTCCATAGAATCAAATAAGGCTTCTTCCATACATCAAAAGCATGTATCCCTTAATGTAGATGAAAATAACAGTAATATGACTAGAATCTTTATAGAAGAAGATGATGGGATGAATTTCACCAAGTGTTATACATCCAGTATTCAAACTTTGGTTCCCACATCCACTGAAGCCAACTTAAGGGAATTTAAAAGTGATATTACAGTTTATGGTAATGACTTGATGGACTTGACAATAAACCGCACTATACAAATTTTACCCTCTGCAGATAATTTATCTGAAATAGAAAATCAAACTCAGACTGTCATGGTGGATGTTACAACAGGTTATAGAACTAAAGCTCCAGCAAAGACGACAGTCTTTGAGAGTAAACCAAATGCTGCTTTTCCAGACTCTCCCTTAAACCCTAAAGGTGACATACATATTACCAGAGGTCATATTATGGGGACAGAAACTCACAAAGTCACACAGACTTCTAACCAAGATGTTAGAACATTGGCCATGGTCCCGGAATCTGTATGTTTCAGTCCAGCAACTCAAGATTATAAAACATTTTTGTATTCTACTTGTAATGATGCCATGGAACTGACCAAGTGTCTCTCAAGTATGAAAGAGGAAGAAAATTTGCTAAAGGATGACCGTAATTATGCCAAAATGTGTCATAATCCAGATACCAGCTCTCTTCTCATGGAGAAAACGATTTACTCAGGAGAGGATAGCATGGACATTACCAAGAGTCAGACACTTGTAATAGATAATCAGATTTTTAAAGAAGATCAGACAAATGTCCAGATAACGGCCAAACCAATATCTGAAAAAGAAATGATGCTCCAAAATCACATAACTATGTCAAAGGATGAGGAAATGAATGTAAATTGTATCTCAGTTCCTCATGTATCTAAGGAAAGATTACAACAGGCCCAGGCAGATCCTTTGTCTACTTCATTGGCTGGTAAAAAGACTGTAATCTTCACAGGTGAAGATAAGGGTTTGACTAAAAGTCATACAACTAATTTAGGAAGTCAAGCTCCTTTTGCATCTTATAATCTAGCATTCAAGGATGCCAGTACATCTCACTCTGACAGCAAAAGCCTTTTAGATGAATGGGGAAAAAAGACCAAAACTCATAATGAACTCTCCCGACAACCAAAAATAATATCTACAAACATCCTAACTGATGCCTGGGGCAAAGAAATAGATCAAGTTTTGAAGATTTCACCCTATTTTGATAAAGTTTCTCCTCAGCCAGTTGATATTAACCAGGACAAAGCAACAAGCTATAATATAGTATACTCTGGTGGAGATCTTCATAAACAAGTAGCACTGGGAAAGAATAGAAATACAGTTTCATGTGAGCAAGCTTTGTTTCCAATCACTAAACTATCTTCAGAAGGCCAATCTGCCATGGAAAATCATAATACTGCTGTTAACAGTCATATAGTTAAATCTGTACCAGACCAGAATTCTAAACTGCCTGAGCCACTGAGGAAAAGTTTAGGTAATCCCAACCTTGACTGTTCTCATAACAAGATAATTACTTGTTCAGAAGTGGAGCAAAATATGGATCTAACCAAGAGTCACACTGTTGTCATTGGATTTGGTCCTTCTGAAGTACAAGAACTTAGTAAGACTAATTTAGAAAGAACTATACTTGCAGACAGACCTGACTTTGAACTATTCAAAAGGAAAAGCCTAGGAAAAATAAAAGTGACCTCTTCTGCTGAGGAGAGTGTTTCCTTTCCGGAGAATGGTGAAAGTGACCATTCAGCAGCAAAAGTCAGCCAGCTAACACTTCTTGGGGACCGATCTAATAGTGGTCCTATAGAGAAAGCTGTAGCATTTATAGCTGATGAGAACATAGACGTGTCTACATCAACCGTTTGGAAAAATGACAAAGATATACAAAAGCCTGGATTTCTGAATGAACATTTGTCAGGCAAAAGTCAAAGAAGGAAAAGCCTTAGACTCAAAGATGACAAGCCCATTGCATTTTCAAGTAATGATAAAAATGATATGGATATCATCCAGAGTTGTACAATGGAAATAAATAACAAAAATGCCCTAGAAGATATACAAGATTCTCTGTTGGTGCCTTTGGCAGGAACTTCTAAAACTGTTTTGTATACATCTGGGCAGGATGACATGGAGATCACTAGAATTCACACAACTGCCTTAGAATGTAAAACTATCTCACCAGTTAAAATAACCACTAGGCCAATGGACAATACTGTATTGTTTATAGATAATCACAGTGATCTGGAAGTCACCAAGTCCAATACTGCTTTCATTGATTGTCAAGCTACAGAAAAAATACTTCAAGAGTGCCCTAAATTTGGAATAGTAAAAAGAAAAACCTTGGGTGTTTCTTTTCCTAAGGATGGTAGCTCTGTTCAAGAAGTCACTAAACAACAAGCACAGGCTATAGAAAACAAAATTGTTCTTCAGACTGAGCAAGAGCACCATGTGATACCCTGTTCTAATACATTGTCTGGGGATCAAGCTCAGATAGAAATAATCAAATTCCATAGTACTGCTGGGGCAAAAGTTGTAGATAAGGCCTATACATTGGAAAAAGCCAAACTTGAAAGCTGCCACTTAAATAGCACAGGTAAAAGAAATGTGGATTTTACAAACAATCATGCACCTGCTATTTGTGGATCCAGCGACAATTATTCCTTTCTACCAAATGTTATTTCCTATGTTGATAATTTGGAGGGGAATGTCATGTCCTTATGTGATAAAGATGAGAAAGCCAGTAATTGCCCAGTGCAAAATGATCTTGCTTATGCAAATGATTTAGCCAGTGAATATTACTTGAAATCTGAAGCACTGCCTCTCTCTGCTCCTTGTTCTGTGTTAGAGAAGGAAAAAGTTACTCAAACGAATACCCAAGGACAGCTAAATGACTGTGTCATAACAGTGCTCAAAGATCAAGATCTGATTAAGGAGCCCCCAAATCTATTAGCTAATCAAACTTTAGTATATGGTCAGGATTTGGGAAACATGACTAAACTTGATTCAAAGCAAGTATCTTTTAAGTTTCCAGAGGATCAAGTGGAGAACTTTGTTCATAATACAGAACATAGTTTAAAGCAGACCTTTGTTGATGATGTTTGTGTTGATTCCCCACTTCATCTCTCAACTCAGCTATCTCCATTACCTCAACAAGGACAGAGTATTGTTAATAAAGGTGAAGCAATATTGTCTCAAGCTGCAAGTAAGAATTTAAATATTCTAAGAAATTCCTCTGTACCCACATGTGAAAATGAGTCCAAAGTGCTCAATAATGAGAAACGGTTGACTGTAGCCTGTGAAAAAGAACTGGAGAAAAATATCCAAACTGCTAAATGTAATATAGCCATAGATTTCCAGAGTAACTCAGACTTGACTAAGCATGTTATTCAAACTCATGCCAAGCCTAAAGAAACATCAGATCCTGTAATTGCATCTAATGCTGCAAGTTTTAGTAGTGGCAAACAAAATCTGAATAATTTGAATGGGAAAACTGAAGAATTTTTAGATATCCAAGCTTTTCATATACCACCTTTTCCAGAACAATTACTTGAGTTAGTAAATAAGGCAGACAGTGATATGAGTATAGTGCAAGCTACAGAAAGAAATAATATTAACACAATGTCCAACAGTGTTAAAGATGATAGAGATGAAGAAAATAAAATTTTTCATAATGGAGCTGAAACCAACTCAGTACCAGTTGTAAAAGATAAAATAAAGAGATGTTCTTTAGGAATATTTTTGCCCAGATTGCCAAACAAGAGAAATTGTAGTGTCACTGGTATAGATGACCTGGAACAGATTCCCTCAAATACAACTGATTTAAGTAACTTAGAAACTCAGCCGGTCTCCAGTAAGGATTCAGGCATTGGATTTATTGCAGCTAAACTGAACTTAAGTCCATCTCAATATATAAATGAGGAAAATCTTCCTATATATCCTGGTGAGATTAATTCCTCAGACTCTATTAGCATAGAAACTGAGGGAAAGTCTTTGATGGAGACATACCAGAAAGAGATTTCACCATCTGAAAATAAAATGAAAGAAACCTGCAATAGCCAGAAAAGAACCTGGGTACAAGAAGATGATGATGATACTCAGAATGAGAAAAAAATCAGAAAAAGTGAGATTAAGTTTAGTGATACCACACAAGATCAGCAGGTGAGCTCTGTCTTGAACTGAGGAATGTTCTTGATTTTTAAAAAATTATGAGTATTCTTGAATTTTAATTTTAGTCTTGGATAAGCAGGAACTTACTATTCTTAGTTATAGGGCTGAAGAAACATTTCTTTGTAGAATCTTAAGGAATTAATGAATGGACTTAAAAATGATTTTTAAAAAAATATATTTTATTGATTTTTTACAGAGAGGAAGGGAGAGGGATAGAGAGTTAGAAGCATTGATGGAAGAGAAACATCGATCAGCTGCCTCCTGCACACCTCCTACTAGGGATGTGCCCACAAACAAGGTACATGCCCTTGACCAGAATCGAACCTGGGACCCTTCAGTCCGCAGGCCAACGCTCTATCCACTGAGCCAAACCGGTTAGAGCCTTAAAAATGATTTGAAGTGACAAATGGTCACAAAAATTGAAATGGAAAGTATTACAAAAGTTAATGTTGAAATTGTGTAATTCTAAATATTCTGTCACCTTTGGTGATTTGTTGTGGTTTTGCATATGAAAATTTCTAGGCAGGTTATATGTAATTTTAATTAATTATTTTTATTGATTTCAGAGAGGAAGGGAGAGGGAGCTAGAAACATCAATGATAAGAGAAGCATTGATTGGCTGCCTCCTGGATGCCCCGTACTGGGTAGCAAGCTGGTAATCTGGGCATGTGCCCTTGACCAGAATGAAACCCAGGACCCTTCAGTCCACAGGCCAATGCTCTATCCACTGAGCCAAACCAGCTAGGGCTACATGTAATTTTAAAAGTCATCTTCAGTGTTATAAATACTTGGAGGGTAAAAAGTCTTTATTATGCATAAAGAAAAGCTTGACAGAATTTTCTTGGCAAATGAGGATATGTAGAAACTGGAAGTACATATCTTTAGTGGATGGGGAAATACCTAGGTCAAGTCCAGTATCTCAAAGTGAAGTAAGTGAGATTTTGTATTTATGAAAGAAAGTCGTAAATATTAAAGCTGAGGGACACTGATTTGGATAACCTGTCACTCAAACTGAGTTTTATAGCTGGAGAGATAAAGATTAAAAATATTGGAGGTTAGCCCTAACCGGTTTGGCTCCGTGGACAGAGCATCGGCCTGCGGACTCAAGGGTCCCGGGTTCGATTTGGGTCAAGGGCATGTACCTTGGTTGCAGGCACATCCCCAGTGGGGAGTGTGCAGGAGGCAGCTGATCGATGTTTCTCTCTCATCGATGTTTCTAATTCTCTATCCCTCTCCCTTCCTCTCTGTAAAAAATCAATAAAATATATTGAAAAATATATATATTAGAGGTTCATAGAAAACAAAGTTTAAACTCTTAAGAAACATGTAAGCTTAGAAGGTGATTTCAGTGGTTCTATGATAGGAGGTGTTGAGGAAATGGTTTGTCTATGAAGCTTTGAGAAAGTACTAACAGTAATATAAAATGTACTAGATGCCTGGTGCACGAATTTGTGCCTGGGTGGGATCCGGCGGGCCTGCTCCGATTGGGCCGGCTGGGGGGAGGGGCCACGGATGATTGGCTGGCCAGCCCCGCCCCCAATCTGGGTGTTGGGGGCTGACTGGGGGTAGAGCCAGCTGGGGATGGTGGGGGGCCAATCGGGGCCTTGATCAGGCTGGTTGGCTGCCGTAGTGCGTGTCATAGCCACCAGTCGTTCTGGTCATTCCGCCATTCCAGTTGCTGGGCTTTTATATATATAGATAACTGAATAGATTCTATGAAAATTAGTACTATTTTGTTCAATATTGAATATCTGCCATGTCCTAGGTACTGTTTAGGTTGCTAGGAATGCCTCAGTGGGAATTGATAGACAAGAATCTTCTCTCATGGAACTTACATTCTAGCATTTAGACAAAGAATATAATGTCCTCAAAAATATATGTAAGTAGGTAGATGAAAATGACATTTAAGGCTGTAAAATCAAATGATTAAAATGATAGAAACAGGACCACATGACTTACACTGGATTTGACTTCAGCCAAATGAGTCTTGGTCATCAAGTGTAGAAAGCACTGAAGCCTGGAAATGTTTCTTTTCTATACACTAGCCAGGACTACCTTGTACAGCCAATATTCTGTTCTGGTTTTCTGTAGTGTGGTAGACCTGACTCTGTTGGCTAGTAGTTGAATAATTGGGTAGGTCAACATTTGATAGCTCATAGGATCTGGCTATAACTTAAATACAACTGAGAAATAATTTGCTTATACAGTGTATTGCAAAAAGTTAGTTCTGTGTATTTTAAAATAAAATTACTTTTAACTCTAAAGGCTTTAGTTGTATATTAATTATTTGAATTCTTTGCTAAGGGATCTCATAAGAGTTATATTATACATAAATTTTATGTTAGAAGTATTTCTGTTAGTGTTCAACAAACAGTCATTATAAGTATACAGTGTTATACCTTTATCCTGATGTTGTTTCTTAATTGATAATTTCAGACTTTTTATCATGCTGAAGGAGATACAGATAAAAATGCTAACAGTGTATTGATAAAAAGCCTGGGCAGGACCCCATCTAGTTGTAGCAGTTCTCTGGATTCAATCAAGGCTGATGGGACCTCTCTGGACTTCAGCAGTAAGATGATGTTCATGAAAGTTAATTTTAATAGAAGTTATTTATTGACTTGACTAATAAAACTTTATTTCAATTCAGAGATGTTTAAAATTTGTGTAAGCTTTTGGGGGGATATAAGTAGTTTATAAGTAAAATAATACTTTATATTTAATTCTTAGTTATTTTAATAAATGGAGAAGTGAAATACAACATGGGGTAGAGTGATTTCCTTAAGAGGCTTATAAACTCAATAGAGAAACATTGAATGAGCTTTAAAACTGTAATATACTTTGCCCTACACATGACTGTCTTCCCAACAAGATCCTAATGGATAGCTTCAAAAGCATGAACCACACATACACCTAAGTGATAACTAAAAAATTAAGTTTACAGTTTAATTTTGACTTGTTCATCACCTGAATGCCTTACTTTCCAGCATACCGCAATAGTCAAATGGAACCACAGTTTCTCACAGACACTGTTTGTGAAGAGAGCTTGAAGGAGGTATGTTAAGTATTTTTTATTTCTAATGCAACTAATTTCCCAGTTTTGTTTTTTCTTTTTTAATTTTTAAAAAATTATGAAATGTTTTGTTCATTTATTTATTTTTAATCCTCACCTGAGGATATTTTTCCCATTGATTTTTAGAGACAGTGGAAGGGAGGGGGGAGGGAAAGAGAGAGAGAAACATCGACTGAGAGAGACACATTCAATTGGTTGCCTCTCAAACCTGCAACCAAGTTATGTGCCCTTGATGGAATCGAACCTGAGACCCTTTAGTCCGAGGGTCGACACTCTAACCACTGAACATACCAGCCAGGTTATTAAATGTTTTAAATATATAGAAGAGGAGTTTTCTTTTCTCTGTTGACCCAACATGGCAGTTAATTATATGAATATGAAGTAGAAATAATGATTAGAAAAACTCAGTTTTGTTATTTTTCCCCAATTCTACTGTTACTGAATAACCTTAAGAAATAAATTTTAGATAAAATCTGTTCATGTACAGCTTACAAATAGCTGGATAGTATTTCCACAAATATATGCAAAATACTTTAAGCTGTTTAGAAACAAATGAGGTGGTTAAAATCAAAATGAGCTCACCTTAAATCAGCGGTTCTCAACCTGTGGGTTGTGACCCCTTTGGGGGTCGAACGACCCTTTCACAGGGGTCGCCTAAGACCATCAGAAAACACATATAATTACATATTGTTTTTGTGATTAATTACTATGCTTTAATTATGTTCAGTTTGTAACAATGAAAATACATCCTGCATATCAGATATTTACATGACGATTCATAACAGTAGCAAAATTACAGTTATGAAGTAGCAACGAAAATAATGTTATGGTTGGGGGTCACCACAACATGAGGAACTGTATTAAAGGGCCGCGGCATTAGGAAGGTTGAGAACCACTGCCTTAAATGGTTATGCAAACTTTTTTTTTCTTCCCTCAGAAACTCAAAGATGGGAGAATAACAATAAAGGAATTCTTTATTCTTCTTCAAGTCCACATTTTGATACAGAAACCCCGACAGAGCACTCTCCCAACCAAAGTAAGTGCAATTTCTTGGCATTTAGTTGCCTCAATTAGAATATATTGTACTTATTTACTAAACTGCATCAAAGTAAGAATTTATTCAGAAACAAAAAGAAAATCTAAGGAAGCAAAATTTCCTATAGAAGTTTTCCTGTAATAGATACATTTGTGGTTAGCATAAAAACTGGTATTTTTTATGTCATGGATTTTCATAAGGTGAAATTTTATTTTCTCATTCCTTGCCATCTATTTTGTTTTTGATACTTTTTCCTGAACATATGCTCTTTCCCACCATTAAACAAATCTAAAAATAGCAGTTTTTAATAAACATTTTTCAAAATAAATATGTAAGATCATAGAATATTTGAACAATACAATCAACAAACTAAAAAAGATTAATAGAAAAACTTGTAACTCTTTCATAAGAATTTTTTCCTTTTAGTCTGTTGAACATTTATAAAAATTAGTTATGCCCTTGCAACAAAGACAACATTAACAAACGGAAAAAAATGGAGATTTTATGGACCATGTCATCTGATCTTAATCCAATAAAATTAGTACTAATAAAAGGACTAAACATTCTTTAGGTTCTTAAAAATTAAGAAACACTTTTAAATAATTCTTTTTTAAAAACTAGATATTTAAATTAATTTTATAGAGGAAGGTAGAGAGAGAGAGAGAGAGAAACATTAGTGAAGAGAGAGAATCATTGATCAGCTGCCTCCTGCACGCCCCACACTGGGGCTTGAGCCTGCAACTTGGGCATGTGCCCTGACCGGGAATCGAACCGTGACCTTCTGGTTCATGGGTTGCTGCTCAACCACTGAACCATGCTGGCCGGGCTAGATAATTCTTATATCAAAGAGGCAATCAAAACTATTTAGAAAGCAAAGGGAATACATTTAATACCAAATCTGTGGAACATACAGCAAAAATTAAGCTTAACAGGAAATTAAAAGTCTCATATCTCCTATATAATAAAACCCTAATATGCAAATCGACCAAATGGCGGAACGATTGGTCGCTATGATGTGCACTGACCACCAGGGGGCAGATGCTCAACGCAGGAGCTTCCCCCTCGTGGTTAGTGCACTCCCACAGGGGGAGTGCCGCTCAGCCAGAAGCCGGACTCATGGCTGGTGAGCGCAGCAGTGGTGGTGGGAGCCTCTCCTGCCTCCACTGCAGGCGGGCGGTAAGGAGCAAGGGGTCCCGAACTGCGAGGGGGGATGTCCAACTGCTGGCTTAGGCCCGATCCCCAGATATTGGGCCTAAGCTGGCAGTCGGACATCCCCTGAAGGGTCCCGGACTGCAAGAGGGCACAGGCCGGGCTGAGGTACCCTACCCCCCACCAGTGCATGAATTTAGTGCACTGGGCCTCTAGGCTATCTATATACAAGCCTAAGCGACCTTTACAACCTAATGACCGGTTGCTATATATATATATATATATACTAGTGGCCCGGTGCACGAAATTCGTGCATGGGAGGAGGGTGTCCCTCAGCCCAGCCTGCACCCTCTCCAATCTCGGACCCTTTGGGGGATGTCGACTGCTGGTTTAGGCCTGATCCCAGGATGTCCAACTGCCGGGATCAGGCCTAACCCGGCAGTTGGACATCCCTTTCACAATCCTGGACCGCTGTCTCCTAACCACTCACCTGCGTGCCTGCCTGATTGCCCCTAACTGCTTCAGCCTGCCAGCCTGATCGCCCCCTAA